TCTGGCTTCCATACGATTGAAGGATAATGTGCTATGGACACATTTAGAGCTCAAGAAATTTTTTATTTTTAATTAAATTAATTAGAAAAAAGATTACACCTTGTGCTGATCGTTAGTCAACTATTACGTGGGTGGGTGAAGGCCAAATACAGCCGTAAAGGAACACTGTATACACTTCTCAAGATCTGGCATGACCATATCAAAGCACATGCTGCCCCTAATATTTGAAGGTCAACGACATGCTACCCGTTTTGTGGCAGGTAGTATAAGAGCACCGTGGGATAAACACAAGCCACAAGTTTCGTTTGAACCCGGATCTCCAACGGGCAAAATAAAACCCTAATCAACTGCAATACTGCCTCCCAAAAAACACACGTAAGCCGCCATTTTTAATAACAGACCTTGTGCCAGCTCGAAAGTACTCTTCTTCATGTACCAACGCAGGCTTCCAGTTAAGGTAGGCGTGTTCGACTGCTCATTTCGGTGCTCATCCCAGCGATCGCTGGCATTTCATATGAAATGACCAAAGCCTTTCCATAAAGAAGGACATGTATGACTAGCGCTTGAAGAAACGGATATGGTTATCATGCTTAACTGGACCTTCGCCTGACGTAAGCCAGTGACCCAACGAATGAGACAGCCAAACCGATCCTGCATAGTACTTAAATTCATCTCGCTCAGATAAACACTGTCTGCTGTCGAGAAAATGAATTTTCCGACTGTTTCCACGGTCTGGTCATCAGCTGTGACGTGCTGACGCAGCATGGTTGAAGCTAGGTTTTAAAGATGATTTACTCCACGACGGCTAAAGTACAGCATGACTGCCGTTAAGGTTGGTTCAACTTGAAGAGAACAGCATTGTCTGGCCCATGTCTGAGAACCTACAGGGCTGCTTTATGAAACCAAGCCAAGTATCTGATAGTTTCCTCAGATCGATGGTAGTCAGCACCTGTTCGTTAGTGACCGGTTATCTCATCGCGATTTGAGAACGCTTCGTAGACACCGTTGTTGGAAGCTGTCCAGACGAGCTCTATGACCTTAAAGGAATGCTCATGTTTTCAGATTGTGTATTAGCACCGAGAATACGGTTCCCTTCAGGATGGTGACCTTGCACCAGCTCTTACAGACCGATCTTTCCATATGTTATACAGCTCACCAAAATCTGCCGATGCCAGTCAAATTCTCCGGTTCACTTCAGCATCAACGTCACTGATGTTAGCAAACACATTTCGAAGGTTCTGAAACGGTCTACATCATTCATAACATTCTTTGACTGCCAATCTCATCGGGTCTACGTCTTTTGGCGTTCACTTTTAGCGCCATTGTCACAGCAGTATCGTACACGCTTTCAGTGAATGAAAATGGATCAGCTGTGGAGTTACTCAGCAGCTCGACGTCATCGGCATATCGTAAAGTCTGTTAGGAATACCATCGGGTATCTCGAGCTGCGTCTTTGACTAACGGTCAGTTCTTCGTTGTTATTTGGGACGCTACACTTACGCATGACATAGTTGGCCATGACATTGACTAGCAAAGAAAAACCATCGCTCCTTGACAAATTCCATTGGTAATGTCGAACTAATTCTCATCAGATGTTTCAGTTCATACGGTGTATTTACTCCCTCCTACATACCTCCCATCATCTTTAGTAATGCATGTGAAATCCAGCAGTAACAAAGAACACATCACATTGTCTGAAGATGAATTGAATCAAATGGTGCTCCAGAGCCCAGGAATGTTGGAAGATGGAAGCTGCGGCACTGATCGATGACTTGCTTCAACAAAGGATATTTTCCGTATACGGATGCCCACTTTGGAGACCTGCCTGGTTAGTTCATAGTGAACGATCGACGGATTTCGTTAGTCGTTAATGAATGATTCATGTGAAGACCTTTCAAGCTGCGACAGGTAGGTGATTCCTCGACAGCTATTACAGTCGGTACATTATATTTTGCTATGCCTCATTTTTGCGAGAGCGTCTTTAACACCGGTGTACTGTCTGAGTACAGCACAGGGGATTTTGAAATCCCCCAATATCCTGCTTCCATGACTCTCTCAGTAACAGCCAGTTCAACCTCGTCTATCAGACACCCCGCTTCTCTATCGTACAACATCGCTTACTATACGGTCGCGTTGCACGCATGCGAACGGTCTTCACCAAAGATAGCAACGTGATGGTAACTTCTTCTTTAAAGTATAGAAATGCTCATTGCACTCATCTGTGTGATCTCAGCGTGATGAGCGGTTTTCGTGGTCGTTTATGAAATGAACAACTACTCCTCGAAAATACATATACGGACTATATCGATGAAAGGAGGATTAATCATCTAGATCGACTTCAGACGAGATGACAACCGGGGTTTCGACTAGAAACTTGCAAATGCAACGTCATATCTGTGAGGGTCTGCCAAAAAACGAATAATTCGGTAGAAGGCCCAAATGAGCATGAAGAGAAGACAGATTCATTGAATAAATAAGAATCATACCTCTTCACTTCTTTCAGACATTTCAGGCAATCCGTTTTAGACAAGTTCAAACGAATGGTGGCCACATCGTTATTCGGCTGCGAACTTTCTCAGAGAGCACTGGAGCTCAAATTCGTAAGAGGCCAACAAAACAAGGTCGTTAACAAATAACAAACACCTCGTCTGCAACCTCATACGTTGGCTGGCTCGACATTCTTACCACTGTGCACTGAAACAAGAGAGGGGAAACCCTCGGTGATGCAAAGTGAACAGAATGCAAGCGGTCAACGCAAACACCAACGACGAAGCAATACTCAAACCGTGACCAACCAAACGACTGTATCAGAACAGTATATTCTTAATCAGGTTGACTTTCAGAGAAGGCCGTAACTCTAATCCAACGTTTAGGCAATCAAAAGGGTCTTGCTCAATACTTCAGTTACCGCAATTTCCCATCGATAAAGCGCGTTTTATGTATGCCGCACACCTTGCACTTTATTATGCTCGCCAAAATCTATAGATAACGCACATCAAGCAGAAACCACGCACCTTCTAATATTTAATAAACAAAAAATGTATAAAGAGCGTGTAGTCCATTTCTTGTCTGAAAAAGGCAGTTTTTGGACAAATGAATAATGAAATAATATGACTGGCTGACTGTATCTTAAACAAACGACAGAAGAATTAACAAGAGTCGCCATACTGCTTTTGGTTTTTGAACACTTGTATTCTGCAAATGTATAATTTTTAAAACTGAAAGCTGTTACTGAGAAAAATACTTATGGAGAAAGAAGTACTGTGGAAGAAAATCGTATACAGCGATGCTTAAGCTGGAAGCCGTTAATTTCCCGAAAGAAAACGGGTATCGTGAGGCAGACAGAAAATTTAACGTTGGAGAGTCCAGTGTACGTGAGCGGAAGAAAGGAGAAGCTGCTCCAAAATGTTAACACCAGAAAAAACGTGCAATGAGGTACAGGAGATGCTTCTGATCAGATTCAAAAAAAACACTTCTCGAGTGGGTTCTTTCAGAGAGATTTAAAGGACATAAGGTGACAACAACCAGTATTTTGTTGAGAGTAAAAGTGATTAAGGAAAAAGACAAAAGAGACAATTTTAATGCTTACCCACCATGAGCTTTTAGATTCATGAAACAGAACAATTTGTATTCGCTCATCTTCGAGTGTTAGCCAAAAACTATCCGGAAGCGAAAGTAGAAATATACAGATTTTACGTTAAAGAAAATTTGTGTGGATCCTGTGTATTTTGGTATTAAGAACGAAATGCTCGTTAGCTTTGATCTCTCTGTTTCAAGGACTGTTAATTTAAAAGGATTAAACGAAGTTTCCTTAGCCACGACCGGAAGTTGAATTTTACTGTTGTGTTAAATGTGAACTCTGATTGTGGGAAGCTTTCACCCTTGGTTCTATTTAAAAAAAAAACAATGCCTAAAGGAAACTTTCCAAAAGATATTTTGATTGCTGCGAATGAGAAGGCATAGGTCAATTAAAAAATAATGAAAGTGTGGGTTGAAAATGTCTGGAGAAAAAGGAAACAAGCCTCATTCAATAAACAGATCCTTATTAATAATGGGATCTTGGCGTGCGCATATTACTGATGATATGAAAGGGTAAATATTCAGAACTAGTGATTATTCCAAACAGATTAATTAAAAAGATTCAACTGCTTGATTTATCCGCTAATGAATCGTTCAAGTCAAAGTTGCGTTGCAAAAGGGAGAAGTGGATAGCAACTGGAATTAAAGCCTAAAGTAAAATGGGAAAGATCAAAGTTGCCATGTGAAGAAATGTGCAGGTGGATCTTGAAAGTTGGCAGTGTTACGTCATGCGTAAAATGGGTTTTTAAAAGCATCAGGCGATGTACTAGATACTACAACGCCAGAAACAGAAGTTGAAGAAGGATTAATTTCAAAAAACGAACCGAGTAACATAACTGAACAAATTGTAAATGCTCTTCATTCATTTTATATTGATTCAGATGAAGAATTTTATGGTTCTCAGTGACTTTATTGCAATTCGAAGGTACAATAAATGCTATTTTACGTTTCATGTTTTATTTTTATCTTATTTTGTCGTATTAACCCTTATATTTACCGACATTGCAACACGTGCATGGTTTAAAACCAATTTATTTTCACATTATACGCGGTTTGAAATTACCGCGCACATAAATAACTTGAAATAATTTGGTATTTTTTCGTTTTTCATTGCATAACGCGCAACGTTGTTTTTCACACTGACTTGTCTTTTCTGCATCGATAACGCGCGATGTTAAAACCACTTTGCCCCAGAATTTTCCCTTTATCTTACTGAAACGTCTCACTGGATGTCACAAAGGGTCACAACATCCATATTATCACTGCGTCCTGTCTTGCGTAATGTTTGATATGACTGTAAGCCAAAAATTTTTTGAGGTTTGGCTTGTGTTTGTCAACAACTGCGGAGAAGCTACAGTTCGTTTACTACTACAAGCTAGTCAGTTCGTTCCTCATACTATCTATTCATGATTTTTGCACCTGCCTCTCGGCTCTTTCCAACGGGTTCCACACACCTTGAACAAATCATCACGTTGTTTCTTATTAGCATGTCGTTGCGTCGCAGTACATGGTCAGAGAACGACTGTTACAGTTTACCTATTTCTACAGAGGGCAAGTTGACACTAATCCCTGTTCGACGCATTTCACTAGTGCTTTTTACAGCTTCCATTAGTAATTCAGCATTTGTGATCGTATGGGTTAGTCTGCAGAGCCGAATATTCTAACCAACACAGAGAGTTCAACACGTCTAAGCGCGCAGGTCTACTTCTAGGTAAGGATCACTGTTGCTGAGCATACAAGAATCGAATATTGATCGAATAACTGACAAAAATGCGCGGGTACTTCAACGACCAGCTAACAGCAACAGTTCACGGATTCCGCTGCAGCATATAAGACAATCCGAGGGTTCTTGATTCATTCTGGAACATCTGTCACAGCGTCGACCACTGGTAATCAACGATGCAACGTGGAAAAACTTGATGACATTATGAACATCTTCCCTCGTAAATTTTAATGATGCTAACATCTACTACAGGGCACCGCATTTCTCTTTGTATCACGCTGCATATATACTTGCGTCATACTGTATCCTATTGTTTGAACAAAAACGTATGCAAAATGTTGCACAAAAGCATTCCAATAGTTACCAAAGATTTTTTATTCTTTTGTTTAGTAATCTAGTACAGATCAGCAATATTTAAATGTTTGCTTTCAGGATTTGACTAATGCTAGGCACAATCAAATGCATACTGTAAGTTAATAGATTAAAAACATAAACACTAGCTCACCGTCATTATTCTCCTCCTTCTCTGAATTTTCTACCTCATCCTCTGAAGAATGATGAGGAGCGGGAGAAAGCAGCTGGCTTTGCACGGGAGCGGATAACTGCAGCGACGGCGTTTTCCATATGTGAGCCGACTGATCACCGCTTGCTGTAACTACCAACAGCTCGGTATTGTTGTACAGCGACGGATGGAAGCGACAGCAGTTGACAGAACCACTGTGTCCAACGTACTTGCAAATGCATAAGCCGGTGTCGATCGACCAAATCTTCGCTGTTTGATCTGAAATGCACAGAACCGTAATAAAGTATGTATG